ATCGCAACAGCCGCTCTGGACAGCGGAGTGGGCGAAGAGCCAAAAAAGAAAAAACTTGATATTGCCCTGTTGTGCTGGTCACTGATGCTATTGTCCAGTGCATTTGACGTGATCACATTCAGTGAGTTCAATATTTCATCATTTATGCGCTGCGAAAAGCTGCAGCCAATTGTCCCGAAACATACTTTACTCCATAATCGATTTCTCAGTTATTGCAGCAACCGCCCACTGTTCTGCTTTCGTCAGTGATCACGTTTCACATTGGCATATTATTAACTTCAGTACAGTAATGTTATAGAGTTAGGCACTCTAATGATATCCACGGTACTGTGAGGCTTGCGCCAGCAGTAACCCTCTTAAAATGCGATCTCTGAGTAGAGGCTTCTGGCGCTTATTTACTTTTTCCTAGCCAAGAAGGAAAGTAACTGTCAACTTCTTCTAAAATTGACACCCGATTTTGCATCACCTTCGTTTTCGATGCATAAATTTTCATTCATATTTTCCCGTATTATGCCTTAAACTCCTGGAACTCCCGTATTTCGCGAGCTCTGATTTTTTGGTGAGAATTGAGTAATTCACGAAGCGTTATTGTTTTTTTGGAGTTGGTTTTTAACTTTTGTATATTCTTAGTTAAATTGCACGCATTGCATAAATTATGCATTTTGCGCTTAGCTTAGCCGCATAATTTTTACCGCATTGGCAACTGCTGGTTTAAACTCGCGTTCATCCGCACCGGCCAAGCATATTTAGACTCTCTACGGACTTTTCGGCATATTCAAAGCTGCGGGACTTTATGCCTCGTTGTACCTCAGCAATGCCCCATTCCATCTCCTTTCTTAGCCTAGGATGAGGTATTTTTCTGAATTTCTCCGAAGTAAAAGCATTCTTTTTTATGAAATTTCATTTTTCTTCCAAAAATTCTAGAAACCTTTTTATTCTTGTTATTTTAGGCAAATTTAAAAGTGATCGCTGGGCATTCCTAGGGGACGAATATCCAAAAGGAATCACTTCACAGGCCGAGGAGGAGGCATCGAAGAAAAAGAAAATAGCGCTGCTAAAACATACTATTCCCCCTCCTCAGAAATATTCTGTC